CCGATCCAGACGTACTCGGCGAGCGTGACGCTCTCGGACACGTCGAGGGTCATGTACTGGTCGTAGACGGCGCGGTCGAGCTTGCTCATGGTGTTTAGAGAGGGGAAACTGCGAGGTGTAGTTGCAGGAAGGTAAAATGAAGAATGAACACGTCGGGATGCCTCCCGAAATCCTTAGGGGCGTGTCGGCGGTGTCCCATTGGTGGAAATACCACTTCAACTTCGACCTGCGAGGTGCCAATCACAGGGCAGCACATACGTGGCGAAGAGCTCTTCGGGCTTTGCGGAGTTGATCTTGTTGCTTGGTCGTGGTTGTCGAGACACTGGCATTTTAATGGTGCAACGACCACTTTGATGATGCCCGAACGCTGCTTGGTGTCGGTTAAAGATTGTGGGGCTGCAGTAAATGTAGCCGCAAAGCGTCGTAAGCTCTTCCGGATCGCCGAGCTTCGCATGCAAGGCTTGAATCAAGTCAATCCATTTGCAGGATAAGCTACTGCTCGTAGCTGGCATTCAGTTGAACACGCCATCGCGAGAGAGGCTCTCAAAGAGCCTAGCCAGGAGATAGTGCGAGCGCCAGCTCGCAACGCGCAATGCCCGGAGTACAGAAGATTGGGCACTGGCGCCATCGTAGAGGAATCTTCGTTTGTGCAAACCTCCGAGAAACCCAAGTGAGGCAGAATGAAGCCGTGGGTGGGTGTAGAGTGATGCGGTTGCCCCTCCCGTTCGCTAGGGCCTCAAGCCCATCTTCCACAGGAAGAGTGCAATGAAGACTGATCGTCGGGCAGCCAACTGACGGTCTCACCTCGAGACGACGGTCTCCGCCTGGGCCGCTTGTGAGCGCGCGACGATCACCGCCTAATAGTCAGCCAGCTCGGACTCAACGTGTTCCACCGCTGCAGCTTTTGCATAGAAGAGACCATCGTCTCAAATTCCGCGCCGTCACCGTCGTGACAACCAACCATGACGAATCATCGCACAGGTGACCGTGCACCGGAACGCAGGCTGCCTTTGACGCTTGTTTCAGATTTCGCCCATGCGCCGACGATGCAGGAAGCGGCCCGCGGTCCACGAAGGGCTGAAAATCGCTGCAGCAGAGTCGGCATCCAATCTACCATCACCTGGCTCGCACATCTAAACTGGTTGGCAAACTGCACATTCTGGTGTGCTGGACACTGTTTAGGAGCCATAGACGCTGCGTTCTATTTTTATTGGCGTGACGCTTGGCGCGTCGATCGTTTCAGAAACGATCCTATTCTCAGTATAAGATATTACAGGTTTGAAGATATCCGTACTTAGTAGAGCTCTTAGTCAAACCGAGTGATGCAGTTGAAATGGTTTGCTCAGTTCGGCGAGTGCGCAAACGCCTGGTTGCCCAACGCAAGCTAGGGTATCTAACACCAGCCACAGCTTGGCTGGTATTGATAGTACCGTTGCTATAATAGAAGCTGTTGATGCGTGGCTTTGTATTGATAATGATTTTGGCACTGGGCATGATGGCACCGGACGTCGCGGTTACTCCGTTCCAGCGATGCACAGACATCATGACATCGCCACACGTTGATGGACAGTAGCTGTGTGAGCGAGAAGTAGACTAATAAGCTGCATAATCCGCAGCTTTCAAGAATTTGATCTTTTTGCATCGATAATTGCAAAAGATCCTACTGCAGATCGCGGGGTGTCTGCGTTCTAGAGATTATGCTAAGTTGATGCTACCTGGGAGACGTGCTTGCAATAGTCGCGGGCTTATTTTGCTGCCCCGCAGCAGCGACACCAACACCGACACCGACACCGACAAGCCACGTACGTGGCAAACGTGGTGCCTTCCTAGCGTATCAATTCTCAGAGCACCAGAGCCCGTTTCTTTCCGACACTGTTGGAGGCGTAAAAGGAGAGCAGACCTCCTCAACAAAAAGCGGGTCAGTCTCTTGGGTAAACTTGCTTTTTATAAGTGACTAAAGATGTCGCCCTACCCAGCGATACTGGTGCTCGATCTTTCACTTCCACTCGCGCTGAAGTCGTCGTCATTGCCCGATTTGCAGTGGACGTCCCAGTTCCAAGCCTCTTCAAGCTCCACTTTCTTCTCTCTTAACACCATGAGCAAGCTCGACCGCGCCGTCTACGACCAGTACATGACCCTCGACGTGTCCGAGAGCGTCACGCTCGCCGAGTACGTCTGGATCGGCGGGTCGGGTCAGGATCTACGCTGCAAGACCAAGACGCTGACCAAGCCCATCAAGTCGGTGGCCGACCTGCCCATCTGGAACTTCGACGGCTCCAGCACGGGCCAGGCGCCCGGCGAGGACTCGGAGGTGCTGCTGCGTCCCGTGTCCATCTTCAAGGACCCGTTCCGTCGCGGCCAGCACATCCTGGTGCTGTGCGACTGCCTGAAGCCCGACATGACGCCCATCGCCAACAACACGCGTGCTGACGCTGCTCGCGTCATGAAGGCCGCTGAGGGTGAGGAGCCGTGGTTCGGTATTGAACAGGAGTACACTCTGTTCGAGAAGGACGGCGTGACCCCGTACGGCTGGCCGAAGGGAGGCTTCCCTGGTCCTCAGGGTCCGTACTACTGCGGTGCCGGCGCGCACTCGGTGTTCGGCCGTCTCATTGTGGACGCTCACTACCGCGCATCGCTGTACGCTGGTATTAACATCTCTGGCATCAACGCCGAGGTGATGCCTGGTCAGTGGGAGTACCAGGTGGGTCCGTGCACGGGCATTGAGTCGGGCGACCACCTGTGGATGTCTCGCTACATCCTGTTGCGTGTGTGCGAGGACTTTGGCGTGAACGTGTCGTGGGACCCCAAGCCGATCCCTGGCGACTGGAACGGCGCTGGCTGCCACACCAACTACTCGACCAAGGCGATGCGTGAGGAGGGCGGCATGGCCAAGATCATCGAGGCCATCGAGAAGATGAAGCTCAAGCACAAGGAGCACATCGCGGCGTACGGCACGGGCAATGAGCGTCGTCTCACGGGCCGCCACGAGACGGCCAGCATGGACACGTTCTCGTACGGCGTGGCCAACCGCGGCGCGTCGGTGCGCATTCCGCGGGTGGCGGAGGCCGAGGGCAAGGGCTACTTCGAGGACCGTCGCCCGGCGTCCAACATGGACCCGTACGTCGTGACCAGCCGCATTGTCAAGACGACGATCCTTAACGAGGCTTAAGTCTTGAGGTTGAAATGGTAGTAAATCGTCGACTGGTAGTTGATTGCAGCTTGTGCTGTTAGAGCTGCCGTAAGGTGTTGCTACTGCGTTGGCTTCTCTTTATTTGTAGTGGAGAAGCTGGTAGTGATGCTTCCTATATATGCTTAGTGAGAGAAAAGAATACAGAGTTCTCTTTTGATGCTTTTTGAAGTGTTGCTTGCTTTGCAGTGATACTGTGATGAACGAGATGCAAGGCCGGAGAGCTCCACTTCGAGGCTCTTTTGGTGTACTGTTAGTAGTATAATTGGGGCTGCAATTGTCGTACAGGGCTGCCACAAGTACATGTACAACGATCTCCTTTTGCAAGACGATAGCATGCTCATTCATGCACGTAGGTAGCTAGCTGACCGTCGGAATTTTCGACTTGTTGAAGTGAACTATTGTGATATTCAAAAATGAAATTTTAGAGCAACATATCCCAAGTGCCGTTGGGTCGTAATAAAATATGCTTGGATGGCATTCAGACGAAAAAAAACCATTAAATTTTTAATGGCTTTTTTTCGTCTGAATGGCAATCCGCATGCGTACCGACGAGTTTTGAGAACTAAGTTAAATGGACGAAGTCAAATTTACGCTTCGTCCATTTAACACTAAGTTAAATAAGCGTTAAGTTAAATGGACGAAGCGTAATTTTGACTTTTTGAAGTGACTAAGAGCTACAAATTTCAAATTCTAAGTCAAAAATGGCAATGCTTTGCTCTATTCAATTGTAAACTTTTGTAGTCTACTCACTGTCGCTACGACTGCGACTGTGAATGTGAATGTGTTTCTTCTTCTTGTGGCTCTTCTTGTGGCTCTGCTTTCGTTTCTTGTGTCGACGGTGCGAGTCGTCGCTGTCGCTGCTGATGTCACTTGAGTCCGAGTCGCTCTCGCTCCTGGATCTGTGTCTCCTCTTTCTGCTCGAATACTTCTTCTTCTTCTTTCTCGTACGTCGTTCCTCCTCTGAATCCGAGTCTGAGCCGTAGATGGCGGCTAGTGCCTGCGGGTTCAGGCCACTACCCGTCACGTCCGCCTTGGCCAGTTTGGAGCGGGATTTGTGGCTCTTACGAAGAGATTTGTCGCGTGACGCGTCCAGCTTCTTGCGGAATTCCTTGGAGTGCTGTTTGGACGGGTCCTTCTCGGCTTCAGCCTGCAGCTTCTGCAGCTTGGATCCTACGAGCTGGTCGTACATCTTCTGAAGCGTGGACTCGGCGTTCATGCTCTTGACCATCGACCGCCCATGGTCCTGGCGCTTGTGGCGCTTGCACGTGCCCGTGTAGCACTGCGGACACGTCGACATGAGCAACAGCAGCAAGTGTGGTTGCGGTATACCACACAGTAACATATTAAATGTGGTGTACATGAATGTTACAACTACCACACTTGAAGTGTTGAACACAATATGTTACATTTAATTAATAACTAACATAAAACTCACATTTATGTTACTAACTGCTTAGTAGCATAAACAAATACGCACGTACAAAATAATACTGAAGCATTTTAAAATGTTCTAGTACTATATTAGGTCGAAGTATTAATCCATGGTTATAGCCTGTATGGTTTGGCGGTCGTCGATTAAAATTATGTCGCCAATGAACTTTGTTTCTTCCTGTTGTCGCTACAACCAGTTATTGAACCAGAAGAGTGGTACAATATCATAGTGGCAAACATGTTTGCCATAGTACATGTACTAGGATCTGGCGAAACCTGTCCGGATT